CTTGATGTCTGATTCCTGGGGTGTAGAGGCCTGATGTTGTTGTGGTGTGAAACCAGGTTGTGGCTGTTGCTGTTGATACCCTCCTTGGAACTGTTGCTTAGGAATGAACCCTTGGCTTTGGTTGTAAGTAACAACGGTTTAGGTTGGTTCTGCTGCTGCTGCTGTTGAGGGTAAACTTGGTCCTGAGGATTGGCGACATTTGTGCTTCTGTATGACAGATTTGGATTGGGTCTGTATTTGTTGTACCCTTTGTTGTAGCCGCCTTGGTTCTGAACATAACAGATTTCAGCGCCTGATCATTCTCCCCCTCTTGGATTTGGAATACTTCGTCTTCAGAGGCGAAGTGAACATGCTTCTGCTGCACTTGGAGGAGTTTGTCGATTTTGTCATGGAGAGCTTTAATCTCTCGGCGGTGTTTGTCATCAGATTCAGTACTGGTGCGGATGCTTCTGTCATAATCCTCGTTGTAATTGCCATCCGACTGAGCCAAGTTTTCAACTAGCTCCCATCCGTCTTCGACATCTTTGTTCAGGAAATTCCCGTTGGAGGCGGTGTCAAGGAGCATACGTATCTTAGGCAGGACGCCTCTGTAAAGTGTGCTCAGAAGAGATGCTTCCTTAAATCCGTAATGAGGGCATTTGGTTTGATAACCCTTAAAGTGCTCCCAAGATTCACAGAAGCTTTCATTTTGCTTCTGAGTGAATCTGGATATCTCGTTCCGGAGTCCTGCAGTCCTGGAGTTGGAGAAGAATTTTGCCAAGAAGGCCTTTTTGCAGTCATCCCAAGTCGTGATTGATCCCTGGGGTAGCGTCTTTTCCCACAGATGGGCTTTATCTCCAAGTGAAAATGGAAACAAGCGAAGCTTGAAACCATCTTCACTAACTCCATTGATTTTAGTAAGGCCATAGAGCCTTTCAAACTCGTCAAGATGATCTAGCGGATCCTCCATTGGCAGGCCATGAAACTTGTTCCCCTGAACCATTGCAATGAGACCGCTTTTGATCTAAAAGTTGTTGTTCTGTATTGGAGGTGGAACATTTCCATGACGCTGGTTGTGGTTGTCAGGGAAGTCACTAGCACCAATGTTGGTAGGTTGCTCTTGCTCATCTACAACGTCAGCCATTGTGTCGGTTTCTGTCTGTTCTCTTAGTTGGCGAGCAATACGGTCGATGTTATCGTTGAATAGGAGATTCTGATTTCCTTGTGACCGTGTATGCATGCAACAGATAGCAGCCGGGCTATAACAGACGAATCAAAGATGTGTCTGGAAAGCGGGTTGCAAGGTACCTGAAACACAAAGACAGAAAAGGCACAATGTTAGTAACTTGTGTAACAAAAACGAACTTGATCTTAATGTTTCTAATGATCTCAAATATAGCAAACAAACACCAAACTAGCAACGGCGCCAAATCGATAGTAGGATTTTTGTCAATTAATCCCTAAAACACTATCTTGTCGTTGTAGTATTTTAGGATGTCAATCCAATCCGGTGTGATGCAAACAGATGAGATATGATCAGAAAGCTCTAAGTCAAGCCAAGCAGAAAGTTGGTTGGTTCTAACAGTCCTAGTATGCAATAACAGAAATGAAATGAAAGTAAAAGCAGGAATGGCAATAGCAGGCAAGTGAATGACAAAGCAGAAATGATAACAGGCAATCAAATGGATAAACAATTCCTAAGGATGGGGTAATCGAATAGTGTGGTCTACTTAATCTATTCAGGCGATTGACAAAACTTCACAGAAGCTATCCCTAGACAACAAGTTCAACAAAAGATTAATTCACTCCCGTGATAGAAATCCTCAAGCAAAGCTAGACACTGACCTTAATCCCTTTAGCGATCTCTAACTAAGGAGGCATTATGGAATCCCTAAGTCAATACCCTCTCTACAGCCAATCCCTTGGGGTAGAGTCAGGTATCTCTGGAATTAATAGGATCCAACGCCCATTAAACGCCTTCTGAGCGCTGGACGTCTGGACTCACACTCCACATTAGCCAGTGAAATAAGCAATAAGCGCAACTAATCCAGAAGGGATTCTAGAATTCTAAACTCAACCACCTAAAACGACCAAGTAAACCACAACTATTCTATCCCATCCTCAGAAATACAGTTCACTACTCAGACATAATTAAAGACAATAACAAAGCAACAATTGAAAACATGATAACAGAAATGACGAAAGACTTAAACGAAAACTGAATATCAAATACTTGAAAGCGAAACTACAAAGTCGCAGGAGAAACACTGCGGCTATCAAAGTTGCGAAAATGTAAAAGCGAGATAAAAACGGATAATAGCGGATGCTAGCGGATGCCTTAGGGAAAACCCTAAGAGGTAGTTTATATAAGCGAAAAAATGAAACAAATAAGGAAACTAAATATATAGCGAATCTTCACGTCATGATCCTGCGACCGAATGTGTCATTGGCATCTGACGGGCTGAAATGAGCTTCCCAGTGATCGAGTATGTCATTGATCAAACTGGGCTTCAGGGGCTCCGTCTTGCGATCGAGTGAAATGCAGTGAAGTCGAGATTGAATGGTCCAGCGACCTTGTGATCGAGTGCGATCGAGTGGATGTCATGAGGGTGTGATCGAGTGGTTTCTTCGGCTTCTTTTCTCTTCTTTGTTCTCAGCTTGTCTGGTTGAGTGCAGAATGAGCAGATAGGCTTCCTGGTGATAGAGTGGTGATCGAGTGGTTCTGATGGGGTGATTCCTCCGGCTTCGCGATTGAGTGAAATTGAGCTGTTTGCTTCTCCGGGGTTGCGATAGAGTGATTTGCCCGGGCAGGGCTCCGAGGCTGCGATAGAGTACTTTTGCTGAAGGCGTCATTGAGCATTCTGACTTCATGTTCTGTTTTTCCTCTGTTTGAACTCCAAAAGCATCCAAAGTAGCTGAAAACAACCAAATATGCCATGCACATGCAATCCTAATGCAAAATCGTCCTAAGTATGTAAAACACACTAAAACGACTCCTAATGAGATGAAATGTGGATGAAACAATGACAAAGTGGTGAAGAATGAATGCCTAAATCATGCAAATTATAGACATATCAACTCCCCCAAACTTAGTCTTTGCTTGCCCTCAAACAAACAAGAAGACATAAGCAGAAGGAGAGGTTTGAAGTTGGGGATTCAGAACCAAAGCATGAGATATGACAATTAAGATCAATGTACCAGCTAACAGTTCTAAGATGCGAGGTGATCGACTTCTACTCAAAAACTTTAGCCATGCTCTGTTATGATCCAAACCTACACTCAAATGTACAATGCGTCAAGATCAACCAATCCCTTTAACATTCATTAAGTTCAAAAACATGAATCAAGATATGCATCGCTAGTGAACTCATTTGGCTAATGACAGGTTATGAGACAAAGATGGTCCCTTTTTAGTGGTTCAGATTTTAATAGCAGGGGACTCTCAATGAAAAAGGACTGAGCTTTAGAAGAATGCTAAAGGTAAGTGCCAACCTATGCATACAAGAATAGCACCCCATCTACCCAATGACATAAACCGTGAATAACAAGTAGATGGTCCTATCTCTAAACCCAATGATGATCCTAAGTCTACCTTTTTGCACTAAAGGCATATTTCGATTTTTTCTTGGATCAATGTTTCCTTTTCTTTTCTTTGGCTCTTGTTCTTAAGGAGAAGCTTTTCTTAAACTCTATGAGTCTAGTCTAGTGAATTGGGTTTTTCTTAAACTCTTATGGCTCTTATCATTTTTTTTTCTGTTTCTGTTTTTGTTGCCATCTATTTTCTTTAGAGCATATCTTAACAATTCTATGCTTCCCAAACATTCACTAGACCACAATATGATTTTCAGCTTCCTTCTCCTAAAGACTCTAACCCATTTTTTTTTTCTTTCTTTTTCTTTTCACACTCAATCTCAATCCCCAAATAATCCTACCAAGTCCGAAAACGCGGATTGGAACTACATGAGATACTACTCTTGTCGGCTCAAACCTAACACGTTCTACCAAGCTCAATCCTGAAAATAGGCCTCACATGCTCTCACAAAATAACATGGCTTGAAAGAAGGATTGGTTAAGGGTGGGGGAACTACTCCAATAATAGAAGCAGCTACTTGGATTAACAAGAGTGGTGAATAAGTGAAAGAAAATCCAAATATGTATTCTCTCCACGAGTTCAAAAACGATGCAAACATGATAATTATAAGTCAGATTCAAGTTCAAATTGACAGGGAAAGGTGTCATGACATGCATCGAGTGGTTTCTATAGAACATGGTGCGGTTTTACTTCAAAGTCATTCAAATGCCTCAGAGAACTAATAACTCATTTTAGTGAATCATCATGCTTACAAGGCTATTTCCTCATTATCCCCTATGCATATGCAACAATTCTATATGAAACACTCTAGACTCGATTCTAAATGTAATGCAATTAAATGATCACTCTGTTTTTGTGGAATTCATTTTCAAAAAATTTCAATTTTTTTTGTTTTTTTCTAGGACTTAGATGATATGCAGACTCAAATGATATTCACAAAAAACAAGTCAAATACGTCTTGAACCCTCCCCCAAACTTAAATTACACAGTCCCTTGTGTAATCAAAATTTGTGAAAGAATTCAAGATAAACACAGAAACAAAAACAAAAGGGATATTTACAAAGGGTTTTGGTGTGTTACCTCAGTAGAATGTCCTGGAGATGTAGTCATCCATATCTGCTTGAGTGTACTCAGCAGGCATGACCTGTTCTTGATGTGGCTCCGCCATCTCCTCGTCATTGTGCTCGATCGCAACCCCAGCAGGTTGTTCAGCACGACGCTCACGTGTTCTCCGCCCCGACATTATCCGACCCTTGCTTGATGATCGAACCATCCTAGCGCTCTTCCGCCTCTTGTGCTCCCTGACCTCGTGAGACGAGTGTCGTACGGGTTCTTGCGGGACAGCGCGTTCTCTCTGTTGATAAGCAGATTGCCTTGGCGGGGCAATGTCATGACGCCTGGATGGCATGTCTTCTGGCGGGTTGTCCCTGGTGATCGCACTGGTGGATGTGGTGCAACTGATTGCCTTCTGCATGTTGTCAATGGCCTTGACACACTTATGGATGATCTTGTCTTGAAACTTGCACCACCTTTGGGTTAGACTGAGCTTCCGGTGTGCTTCAACGAGACTCTTGCTTTCTCGTGAAGGGGGCTTGTGTTCTTCAAAGTGGTAGCGGCTCGTGTCATAGTTCTCCCAATTGGTCTCCTCATTGTCACTCTGACCTTCTACTTCTTCAGCATTCCGGGACGCGGATCCTCCAATCACAGCATGGAGGATTTCTTGTGGTGGCGAGAAGTCGATGTTGTCTCTCACCGTGATGGTTGTCATTTCACTGAATGGGAGAAGAATAGTTGCTTCGCCTGTTGACGGGTGATCCAACTTGAAAGCGTACCTCCCGTCATAGACCTTATGTTCGATCACATGGGCAAGCTTGAGATGGGCGATATCCATCCAACGTGGTTGGATTGGATCCGGTCGCAGCGTGACGTTTGAGAGCCTTGTAGTAGTCTGCCGTGGTCAGCTTGTCTTCTTTCATTAGGGACTTGGTGGTCTTGCGGGTTTGCTCCGGAATGTATTCTGCATCATCTTCCATCTCTTTCATCAATTAGCTCATAATTTTCCGTCATTGACTTCTTCCCTCTGGCTATCTCTTCTCTTCTCCTGTCATTGGCAGCTGCTCGCTCCGTTTCTTCTCGGAAACGTTGGTATTCCTCCGCTTCTCTCTCCGGTCTAGTTGACCAAGATTCAGCATCATCAACATTGTAGTCGGCATCCATAGATGATTCGTAGCTGTGTGAACTCATCTTGAAGCTGAAATCGATTTGAAACTCACAACTAAAGCTCAGTAGGTTAGTGAGAAACAAACAAAGACAATGAAAGAAATGACTTCCTGTTGATATAGAGTTGTGATCGAGTAGAATTTGATAGTGAGAGCTCAGGTCGCGATCGAGTGAAGCAAGCAAATGAGAGACAGGGTTGCGATAGAGTAGTTTCTGAGGTTCTGTTTTAGTCAATAACAGCTAGCAACAACGAAAGAGTTGAGAGCGTTTTTGGTAGTGAAGTAGAGAGATAAACAAGAGAGATGTTTTGAAATCACAAGTGATGAAGAAAAGTGAAGAGTAGTGACACTTATCTCCCTTTGCGATTTGAATGAGTGGAGGAGGTGTGTTGCTTTTAAACGGACGGATGGGATGCAATGCCCGTTATGCTGTCGGCAAAGTGATAAGGTGACAAAGCTTGGTGCTTTATGTCGGCAGGATGGGGTTCCTTCAAGTCATGCGCCTTGTGATCGAGTATGGGCTGTTGATCCTTTAATTTCGTGTCATGGGCTACAAGTGGACACAGCATGGGCTTTTTGGGAGTTTCGGTGGAGATTGAAATCCAGTAGGCTTAATGGGACTAAAGTTTGTCATTGACGTTCTGTGGACACTTTCACTCCTCCTTGCGATCTAGTAGAAAATTGTTATCCCGAAACTGCTAGATCGCACTCCTGAGCTTTCACTCCTATGTTGTGATCGAGTATTTGAAATTTTTTTTGTAAAATTTTCATTTGAACACTCGATCACATCCTTGTTGATCACTCCAGCTGTTATTCATTTTCTGAGAATCAAAGACACAACTAAAACGAATCAAAAGTAACAAATAAATAAAAAGTATATACAGGGATAGTCATGGGACTTCCTCCCAAGTGAGCTTGTTTAGAGTCTCTAGCTTGACTCCTCACACTAATCAAGTGGAGAAAATGTGACAGAGGGAACTTGAGAAGTCCTCCTCTTCACTGATATCATCATCATACACAGCATCCTCCCTTGACAGTTGCACAGCTGAGTACTCAATTCTTCTTTCCTCATAGTAGGCTGCTTCCTCCTCTGGAGGATAGTCTTTCTCTTCTGACCAATCCCAGGTGATCTCCTTTCTTGAAATCGTGTCATGGTTGAGCTCGGGCTGAACCTCCTTTTGCATTCGACTTAGTTTGTCTCTAAGCTTTTCAACAGTGTAGCTCAGCTTCTGAATGGTTCTGTTCTGTACATCAGTCTTCCTTTTGAGTTCCAGCCAATCAAGTGAGGAGGGTATACTCGATCGAGTAGTCGAGTTCGATGGTGGAGTTTGAACCGAAATTTGCTCCTTCCCTCTTTTGATCTCAAGGCCTTCACTTGGAACCGCTCTCTGGACCTCTAAGGTTTTTCCTTCTGTTGGTGACCTTGTCGGAAATTTGTTGATGTCAAACTGTAACTTGACATGCCTCCCAAGGTTGAGATCAATCTTGCCATATCTGACATCTATTACTGCTCCCATTGAGGCTAAGAAAGGTCTTCCTAAGATCAGAGGATCTTTAGACTCTTCATCCATTTCAAGCACGACAAAACCAGTGGGTACCTCAACTCCATCTATCATTATTGGGACGTTCTCTAGAATGCTGAAAGGTCTCCTTGAAGTTCTATCAGCAAGGATCAAGGTGATGTCAAAGGGCTTGTACTGAACGAATCCCAGCTTCCTTGCCACAGAGAGTGGCATTAAACTGACTGAGGCTCCAGCGGTTTGATGCATAATGACATCGTCTTCGTCATCTGAATCCTGATATATGTTGAGCCTTTCTAGTATCAGGTTTCTCACATCTTTGTGAGGGTCTGAAATCAACTTTAGGACTTCTACTAAGGGCATCACAGCTTCCATCTCATCAAGTTGTTTTTCTGCCAGAGATTCATATCTGCTTTTCCAAGCTTTCCTGAACGTCCATGGAAGAGCAAGTGAGGGTGATGGAGCTGGCTTGAATCGTTTTATCATCCTCTCGATTATAGCAGCCTTCTCCTCCAAGTCAGACTGAGTCTGATAGAAAGGTTGAGCTGAATAGTCGATCTCAGCAACAGAGACTTCAATCTCAGTGGAAGCCTCCCCTTCTTGAATTACACTGTCCTCAGTGTTTGATGTAGAGACATGTTGAGTTGGTAGCTCTCGCTCATGTCTGATAGTGATTGCGTGTGCAGTGGCGTACTCCTTATGGTTTTGGATTGCTTTTCCTGGAAGCTGGCCTGGGTTGTTTGTAACAGGTGGTGAAGTAGTGATGCCGTCCAGATATCGCACCCTTGTGTTCAATGATTCCAACCTGCTACTCAGTTCATTGAACTGTCTGTCAAATTTGTTGTTCAAGTCAGCCAGCTTCTTAGCAGATTCCATTACCCCTGCGGCTTGGCCTTGTATGATCTGTTGGAGCATATTCTTGATGTCTGATTCCTGGGGTGTAGAGGCCTGATGTTGTTGTGGTGTGAAACCAGGTGGTGGCTGTTGCTGTTGATACCCTCCTTGGAACTGTTGCTTAGGAACGAACCTTTGGCTTTGGTTGTAAGTAACAAACGGTTTGGGTTGGTTCTGCTGCAGCTGCTGTTGAGGGTAAACTTGGTCCTGAGGATTGGCGACATTTGTGCTTCTGTATGACAGATTTGGGTTGGGTCTGTAATTGTTGTACCCTTTGTTGTAGCCGCCTTGGTTCTGAACATAACAGATTTCAGCGCCCTGATCATTCTCCCCCTCTTGGATTTGGAATACTTCGTCTTCAGAGGCGAAGTGAACATGCTTCTGCAGCACTTGGAGGAGTTTGTCGATTTTGTCATGGAGAGCTTTAATCTCTCGGCGGTGCTTGTCATCAGATTCAGTACTGGTGCGGATGCTTCTGTCATAATCCTCGTTGTAATTGCCATCCGACTGAGCCAAGTTTTCAACTAGCTCCCATCCGTCTTCGAAATCTTTGTTCAGGAAATTCCCGTTGGAGGCGGTGTCAAGGAGCATACGTATCTTAGGCAGGACGCCTCTGTAAAGTGTGCTCAGAAGAGATGCTTCCTTAAATCTGTGATGAGGGCATTTGGTTTGATAACCCTTAAAGCGCTCCCAAGCTTCACAAAAGCTTTCATTTTGCTTTTGAGTGAATCCGGATATCTCGTTCCGGAGTCTTGCAGTCCTGGAGTTGGAGAAGAATTTTGCCAAGAAGGCCTTTTTGCAGTCATCCCAGGTCGTGATTGATCCCTGGGGTAGCGTCTTTTCCCATAGATGGGCTTTATCACCAAGTAAAAATGGAAACAAGCGAAGCTTGAAACCATCTTCACTAACTCCATTGATTCTAGTAAGGCCACAGAGCCTTTCAAACTCGTCAAGATGATCTAGCGGATCCTCCATTGGCAGGCCATGAAACTTGTTCCCCTGAACCATAGCAATGAGACCGCTTTTGATCTCAAAGTTGTTGTTCTGTACTGGAGGTGGAACAATTCCATGACGCTGGTTGTGGTTGTGAGGGAAGTCACCAGCACCAATGTTGGTAGGTTGCTCTTGCTCATCTACAACGTCAGCCATTGAATAGGAGGTTCTGATTTCCTTGTGACCGTGTATGCATGCAACAAATAGCAGCCGGGCTATAACAGACGAATCAGAGATACGTCTGGAAAGCGGGATGCAAGGTACCTGAAACACAAAGACAGAAAAGGCACAATGTTAGTAACTTGTGTAACAAAAACGAACTTGATCTTAATGTTTCTAATGATCTCAAATATAGCAAACAAACACCAAACTGGCAACGGCGCCAAATTGATAGTAGGATTTTACTCAATTAATCCCTAAAACACTATCTTGTCGTTGTAGTATTTTAGGATGTCAATCCAATCCGGTGTGATGCAAACAGATGAGATATGATCAGAAAGCTCTAAGTCAAGCCAAGCAGAAAGTTGGTTGGTTCTAACAGTCCTAGTATGCAATAACAAAAATGAAATGAAACTAAAAGCAGGAATGGCAATAGCAGGCAAGTGAATGACAAAGCAGAAATGATAACAGGCAATTAAATGGATAAACGATTCCTAAGGATGGGGTAATCGAATAGTGTGGTCTACTTAATCTATTCAGGCGGTTAACAAAACTTCACAGAAGCTATCCCTAGACAACAAGTTCAACAACAGATTAATTCACTCCCGTGATAGAAATCCTCAAGCAAAGCTAGACACTGACCTAAATCCCTTTAGCGATCTCTAACTAAGAAGGCATTATGGAATCAACATGTTAAAGTCAATACCTTCTCTACAGCCAATCCCTTGGGGTAGAGTCAGGTATCTCTGGAATTAATAGGATCCAACGCCCATTAAACGCCTTCTGAGCGCTGGACGTCTGGACTCACACTCCACATTAGCCAGTGAAATAAGCAATAAGCGCAACTAATCCAGAAGGGAT